GTGGAGAATAAGATACCTTAATGATTTTTTTTCTTGATAAAAAAGGGTAAGAAGTAATTTTATTGAAGTTTACAAGATTATCCAGGAGAACGATAAGATAAAGAACTCTAATGTCTATGTGCTATATTCTAAAGACAACAGAGTAAGAAGATAGAAATGTATTATTTGGGAGAGGCAAATACAAGTTAAATATTTGAAAGATAGACAGTTTTGTTTAATTAACATAATGATTATCTTATAGAATGAGTTGTTATCAACAGTAGTGGAGGCCGTCACCGTACAAGAGTTTAAGATTTCTTACAGAATAAATGGTGGGATTAATTTTTACTAGTCTTTTTTTAATGAGGTGTGTATGTATCGTGTGTTATGTTAAATTTTCACCTCATTTGGTTTCGATGTAATTTTTCAGGTGCATTTCTTTACATAGCAGAAGAGTGGTAATTGTAGACCACGAAACGCTGTTCAACCAAAAAAAATGAATAAAAAAAGGCCTTTTGAGAGTGCCAGAAAATGTTTTTATTATATTAATAATATGGTAAATTTTTCAAGATTAAACAATGAGCACAGTGTTTGAGTATTTTTGCGAAAGAAGTCTCTTATTTCATCAAAATTAATTTAATTTAACTTAAACTGTATAGTAGAATAAAAAATATACGATTATCAATAGCCTCTTTTATTGCGTCTTGAGAGATTACCACAAAAATGTATGCATTTTGTTTAAAAAAAAATTAAACAAATATTAAACATTTCATTTTATAAACGATATATATGTACATTGTTTATTTATTTAAACACGAAGCTGCACAGTGAACTCTTTGCACTGAACCTTCTCAAGAATAGATTCCTGAAATTTAGCGTTATAAGCCCTCAAGCTTACCGCTGAGCTACCAGGGGGTGTTATTTCTATAATAATAAAATATAAAATGAAAACGGATGGATAGATAACGTAAATTATGAAAGTAATAACGTCAGAAAAAAATATACAAAACATTATCAAACACTTTACTATTAAAATGGGAGGAAATATTGTTATACTAATATTTGTTTTCATATTTGTTATATAAAAACGACTCAGCACAACACGCAAACCTCTATATGTTTATGTGTTTTGATGCATATAGAAAAGTAGGACTTTAAAATGATGCGAAAACGTTATTATAAGTTATTCAGCTTGGATATCTGCTACATTTATAATTCTATTTTTTCATTTTTACGACGATATTAATTAAATATGAACCCTGGCGACGGCATTTTGTTGATCTAATGTAATGTTGTTTCAGCTCAATCAGTCTCGACGATATCCAAGAAATTTCAAAAAATATTCGTAAAAAGAAACTATTAAAGTATAAGACTTAGAACAGTAATAATTTGAAATATAAAGATATTTGAAAAATCAAGTTTTGGCACTCAGATTTCAAGAAATAAAAAACCTGACATTTTACCCATTGCAGGTCACCTTACATAAATTAATAATCGAAATTATGATGCACAAAAAATGAACTATGACAAATGTACAAATATGGGTTATTAAATATTTCTATGCATATCTCACCCATTTATTTCTATAGGCGTGGCATAGCCTAGTGTTTAGGGAGCTCGATTTGCAATCTGCGGGGCACAGGGTCGTAATCCGTCCCGGAACATGGTTGCCCTTTCAACTGTGGGGAGGTGTTATAATGTGATTGGCAATCACTGGTAAAAATTAGCCCAACAGCTGACGGTGGGTGTTGTTAACTAGCTGCTTTCTTTCTATTCTATCACTTCAAAATTAAGGAGGGCTAACGAATAGTTCAAGAAATTAAATAAAACAAGCTCTCCAGTGGTTCACCGTTAAGTCTGAAGGCATATCACGCTAAATACAAGGTTTCAATACCTATAATAGGCACAGCATAGATAACCTATTATGCAGCTTTGCACTTAAAAGTCAAACAAGCAAACACGTCAATAAAACAAACAATCCCTATAATTCACGCATAACTGCTCAGTTTAGGACAGCTGCGTTTAGGACAACTTTCATATGTAACAGGCTTGATATTTTTAATTTAATCCACTAACTATAAACAACTGACCATCTCAGAAATGATTTCTTGAAGCTAACTATATATAAAAAATAAGATCTAGTATCTAAGAAAAGAATCAGTTATGATGAACTTCCATAGCTTTTAGAAGAAACCTTGCTTGCAACCTAACTGGGCAGGGCACGGCCTAACGATCAGCGGGCCGGGCTGTGAATACGAGGGCCGTGATTCGATTCCCTTTCTCACAGAATTGTACTCCACACTTTGGAGCCTTGGGTGCGTTATAAGAGTGACAGTCAAATCCTTCTATTCGTTTAGAGTATCCCAAGAGTTGGCCGTGGGTGCTGTTGACTAGTTGCCTTCTCCCTAGCCTATCAGTTAAAAATTACGAACGATTAATAAAGTATCCCTCGAGTAGCTTGTGCAAACATTGGATAGAAAATCAAGGTTTTTCAGAGACTTTTACGTAATTATCTTGTAGAATCTGTGATGGCAAAACATACTTTTGCTCTTCTAAAACAGGCAAACATATTAAATATGTGGTTAAAGAACGGAATTGTAAACTCTTGTTTTTTTATTTCTCGAAAAACAATGTGTACAAATCACGTAGTATTTCTTTATATTTGTAGTTATTTTTTATATTTCATTTGGAAAAATACAAGGTTTCAAAGTTGCGGTTTGTCCGATTCTTTGTTAGAAAATTGCTTTGGTTTTGTTTATTTCAAAATTTCATGCAAAGCTATAGAAGTGATATTAACGCGTAGTCGTCCCTAATTTTGAACTGGTGGACTACAAAGAAGGCAGCTAATGAATGGCACTCACTGCTAACTCTTGGACTGCTCTTGTTTGATCTATTGTAGTGGGTTTTGACCGGCACACAGATGGACATACTGACTATTAGATCACAATCCTCTCATTCTTCTAGAGTGACACTGTGTCTTCCCCGGGAACCCAATCCCGAATTCTAGCGTTATAAGTCCTTAACCCTACCAGAAGGGTACTCGTGGAAAAGAAAAGTGTAACTAGTTTTTTCTGCTAATCAAAGTGTCCGTCATTAACAGACTGTCTTAAACTGTTATTAGAAGACCAGCCTTAAATATACAAAGACGAAATCATGGTTTCCCAAACGACGTTTCTTTATCAGTGAAAATTATTACAACGAATTAGGAAAACCCTAAGTCGAACCTGATCGAATGAACGGAAATCAACTAGGAGTTTTTCTTGACGCATTACTTGTAAATGCGATTCAATTGAGTAAATTGTGGTTTAAGAATTTTTATACCAATTGTGATACGTGGATTTAAAAATCACTGAATTTCTATACCAGTTGTGATACGTAGATTTAAAAATCATAGAATTTCTTGTTAATCTGTCTAAAAGTTGGTAGTAGTTTTTTTTAATGTATTCAAACAGTGTTCAAGTTTAAAGTGGTAGAAAATTTGAAACTAATCTTTATGCCAGAAACTGAGTTTATATAAATTAAGAATTACTCTCTTTAGATCATTCAAATATATCTCTACTAAAAATTCCAGAAAACCCTAAAAATATCATTCATAAATAAAGTTTCAAATTTATTCATACAAAAAAAAAAGCATAAGGAAAAAATAAAACATGTTTATGAATACAGAAATTAAGCAAAACTAATATAGAATTGGCAATAAATGTATCTTACCAAGAAAACGCATATACGAATCGGAACAAGTTTACTGAAATGGCATTAATGGTTGTAATGTTTAATCAATTTTGCTCATACCGTTAAATATCAGCCTTGACAAGATAACTCAATAGAAAAGCATAACAAGAGAGTGAGTTGGCTCTGTGGAAGAGAACTGGATTTCCGAGCTGGCAAACAGCGGTCAAATATCCTCATTTTAAGCTATGGTTGCATTATAAGAGTGAGAGTCAATCAGTTAGCGTCGATGGTACTGCTGACTGGCTGCATCCCTCTGGTGAGTAGTTCAAAATTAGGAACGGCAGCAGGTAACTTTAGAAGCTTTGCCACAAATACGAAAAGCAGACTGAATGTAACAAGATGAGTTTCATGTAATAATGCTAAATACGGTGAAATATCAGTCCTAACAAGATAAACCATACAGACTAACGTATCGAAATCCTATTTGTTAAATAACGTAAGATTTTTGGTTCTACTTATGGTGAACTATTAATGCTGACAGTTTACACCAATAACATATTTATTCTTCCAACAAATGAAAAATACCATGAAGGCTGTTCAAACTAACTTAGAAGTCACTTATAATTATTTAAACTAGTACTCCGATGGCTCCATTAAGATTCTCCCTCAGAAACGATATTTGTGTAGATTTTGGCTAAACAATTTTAAACATCTGATAAGAAATATATATATCCACATCAGGACACTTCAAAAGGTAAACATGTGGACATTTCGGGTTAATTTAGACATTATCTATAAATTTCTGCAAAGTGATTACGAACACAATTACGGGCAAATGTGGCTTTTCGATTAGCAATAAGGCCCTACCACACCATTTCAATAAAAGGTGCTAGATAACTAGAAAGCATAGCACACATTCCGTTGCTCCAACGACGTGAAGCCCTTGAAAGAGACGATGCCTTGAATTACGCCACCCTTAATAACCAACATGATAACAGTTATTATTAGGTGTATTACGAACGACTGTGAATAAGAGCTATATAAATGTAAATAAATACACTAAGTTTTACTTTTGATGGGGAAACTTTATCGTAAAGACACGATTCATTCTAACACTAGCTTTTTTTTTCTTCTGTGCTTAAGAACAATTGTTTCTCTTGACCACTGACTAATGTCCTTCTGCAAACTGTAATAAGTTTTGTCTAATAAAAGTTTCCTTTAACAGTAGGTCGTTACTTTATGTAAGAAAGTAAAGCTTGTAGAGAACATCGGCGTGGGCTGAACTATTCAGTTATACAGTTCCAAGATCACATAAATAGGAGTTTATTAAAAACATCGATCACCCTTACCTCTAAAAAGTTATCGTTAGTGAAGCGGTTAATGAGTGCGGTTTTCCCACACCGACTGTCTCCCACTAGGACTACTTTACATGAGACCTCTTCCATAATATGCGTACTGGACGGAATGCACTCAAAACATCATAACGGCGGAACACCTGGAAATAAATAGATATGTTACTTAAATGTATTTCGAACCATACAATTATCTTAGCAGATAAGTAACAACTGCATTGGCGTTGTAAATCCTTTTTTATTTACACTTATACAATAGAACCACCGATGAGGTCTAGATCACGTCGGCTTTTTAAACATTTTTAAACTAATTATGCACCAAATCGCTTATGAGTCAACGACGTGGTTGATTACAGGGTTCGTAATAACATATGAGTCACACGCGAAAAATGTTTAAATAAAATTAGCACTCAATATTTTAATAATCCCATTAATTACTTTTGTAGTTTTCTATCTATCTTACATAGAAAATGTTTGATTTCAGCCTATTTTAGTCTACTGAGAGTTGTAACAGAAAAAAACATAAAGTTGATGAATATACTGCAATATACGGACCCAGTAACATGGGAGTCCGCAGGGGGACGCGCAAGGGGAAAGGAAAATGAGAAACACATTTCTTTATTTAGTCTATATATATATTCCTTTGTATATATACCCTTGATTTAGACTTTGCCCCCTCCCCCCTGGAGAAATTTCTGTGGACGTTCATGCTCACCGGGTAGTGAAAAATACAAAAAATCCTTGAAAGCTGGGCCGGCTAAACGAAAAAACGCCATCACTTATGTGGAGTTTTACTTAACTTTGTAAAAAA